TTAATTTTTTTCACTGATGGGAAGCACTTCACGGCTTCTCTTAGGTTTTGAAGAACTTCCAGCTATCTCATTACTTTTTAACAAGTCACTAGAAACTAGCACCTTCCCAAAACTACTCAAGACGGCAAGGGTTACCCCAAATTTACATAAAGGTGTGACCCTACAGATTAAACAACTATAGGCCAATATCAAACTTACCATTGGTATCCAAAATCTTTGAGAAACTCGTGCACAGGAGACTATATTCATTTATAACGGCACAAAACATACTCAACCCCTGCCAATTTGGATTCAGGAAAAATAAAAGCACTAACGATGCAATCATAAAATGCTAGATCTGCTTTACACAACATTGGAAAATAAGGAATATCCACTAGGAATTTTTATTGACCTAAGAAAAGCTTTTGACACAGTAGACCACGGCATCCTACTCCACAAACTTGACCATTATGGTATAAGAGGCCATGCTCTTGCATATTTCAAATCTTACCTTACTAATAGGTATCAGTATGTCACCATTAAAGACACAGCATCAACAACACAGCCACTTGATACTGGAGTTCTGCAGGGAATTATCCTTGGTCCCCTGCTCTTCCTCATATACATCAGTGATCTTCCAAACGTATCTCAACACCTGAACCCCATTCTCTTTGCTGACGACACGACTTATGTCATCTCTCACCCAAATCTTGCCACCCTCAACACCATTTTTAATGAGGAGCTGATCAAAATATCGACTTGGATGACAGCCAATAAACTTACGCTTAACACTGGCAAAACCTACTACATTATGTTTGGTAGCAGAGCAGGAGATGCGCAAATTAACATTAAGATCGACAACACTCTAATTGCCAGAAATAATGAGGGCAAATTCCTAGGCCTATACCTCGACAACAACCTGAATTTCAGCACCCATATCCAACACAAAACCAAAAAAGTATCCAAAACGGTTGGGATCCTCTCCAAGATACGATACTACATGCCGCAAACTGCCCTTCTCACACTATACCATTCACTTATATATCCATACCTCACCTATGCTATCTGTGCTTGGGGTTCAACTGCAGCAACACACCTAAAGCCAATAATAACCCAACAAAAAGCCGCAGTAAGAATAATCACTAAATCCCATCCCTGGCAACACCCCCCCCCCACTCTTCATAGATCTAAACTTACTCCCTGTTCAGTACATCCACACTTACTACTGTGCAATGTACATCTACAGGACCTTAAATTCCAATATTAACCTTGACCTAAAACGCTTTCTTGATAGTTGTGGACAGAACCCACAGGCACAACACCAGACACAAACATCTCTATGGGCATTCCCCGTGTCCGACTAAACCTTTACAAAAATTCAATGTATGTCAAAGGCCCTAAAATCTGGAACACCCTACCTGAAAATTCTAAAACTGCAGACACATTCATCACCTTCAAAACTAACATCAGAAAACATCTTATCTCAATGATACACCCTGTCAACTAATTACACGAATACCACCTGGTGGTTAACACTTACACTCACTCACCCATTTGACCATAAACAGAAATATCAATCTCAATCTTAAAATAATGAATCTTAACTAGTCATAAGTTGGCCTGTGATACTCCAATACTGAAACTATGTATAGTGCCAAAACAAAAGCATTCACATTGCTAAACTCACAAATTAGTATTTAGTCACTTAGCCATAATACCAACTTACCTCATAATTTTGTAATATTTTAAACTTAAGATTTAATCTAAGTCTGCTCGAAATGCCTAGCCATGCTAGGTGTTCTAGTGGTACACTCTGTAATTATTATTTTACTACATGTAAACCATACAATAACCAAATTCTGTAAACTCAGCATTGTAATCCTTATAGAGAATAAACTTTGAATTTGAATTTGAAGTGATGTAAAATTATACATAATGCAAAATTAAGAAGTATTTCTGGGCCACAGTAAACCGTGGATAACTGAAACCACAGATACCATATCAGTAGATATGGGGGTTCTGTTGTAATGTTGATGGTAAAGATGCAATATGTACCACTCATTGTAGAATAAATATCTGAATACATACTGTGTATACACTACTCTAATATATAGATCAGGCCTTAAACCCAAATTTGTAGTTTTTCTCAAAGGTTGAAATCAATAGACTTTGACCTAAGAATAGAGGCTCACTGCAGTAGGCCTACTAGCTATGCTAGGCAAATCCTTCTCAAGCCCAACCTGTTTTTAAAGCTACCCAAGGTGTTAGCTTTGATGATTACTGGACTGACTGTATCACTCGTTCTTAACTCCATTGACAAACTAATACTTTCCTCTATCCTTTCTAAATTTGAATTTCTGCAAACTGAATCCATTATTTAATAGTTCTTTAATGGTTAGATATCAACATCTTGCTTATATCTCCTTTATTTATACCTGACTTCCATTTTGTATACTTAAATCATATTTTCATTTATTCTTTTTCCTTCAAGAGTGTAGGTTCAGAGGTCTCAGTCAGTCTTTGTATGAAAAGATCTGTATACAGTTGATTAATTTATCATCCCTCTCTGTATGCTCTCCAGTATAATAATAGGTAGAACTGCACAGAATTTTCTAAATGAGGCCTTATATGTGATGCAAAAAGGTCTTTGGTAACCTTTGTGACCCTTCTGCTTATGTTTCCTGATACTGTATACATAAATCGAACATATCTGTTAGTTTCATTACAGATGGTTAGGCACTGCTGGCTTGGCTTTAAATTTCTGCTTACAGTGACTCCCAAGTCCTTTTCACATTCTGTACTAATTAGTCCTTGATTATTTAGGTTATAAGCATTATGGCTATTCTCATTCCTGTGGATTAGGAATTTGCACATTTCCAAATTAAATTGTATCTGCCTGTCATCTAACTGTGACATTAGCTTGTCTAAATCTGTCTGAAGTCCATTGGTATCTTTTTCCATAAGTCAGAAACACAGCACATTGCAGAAGGTCTGTTGCCTCATGTTAGGCCACTCATATACCTGTCTAATTTATTTTGAAAACTACCCAGAGTATCTAAACATTAATAAGTTGAACCCTTTGCTGCAAGTCCTGTCTTTGTTAGACACTGTATTTTCAGTGCTTTAAATACTGTCCTTTATTATTCTAGTTTCCATTTTTCTCTTCTGAATTAATTAATGAACATTGCTTTTTCATAATTATCATGAGCTTTAAATTATGGGGTAATTATTTTTTTATAAATGTTGCTTTTGAAAGACAAACACTGTTCAGGTCATAAAGCAAATCCAGTAAACATTTAGAAAAAAATCAGTAGATCAGATAGTAAACTAAAAAATGTTTTGTATTTGCAGGACATACTACTTGTGTTCTGCACCTGGACCACATGAGGAACAAAACCAAATACTTAAAAACAATCAAAAGCTGGTGTGAAGATTTGGACCTATTTGGACAGATAATATTTTACTTGCGATGGATATTCATTATTTTACAAGGCACTGAGGAAAATATTAAGGTGTGTATTCCAATATCATTTATCCCAACTACAGTATTTTGTTTGTGAAGATCTAGTTCAGTTTCTCAGTTTGATTTGCCCATTATTATTATAATCAAAACAAAGTGTTAAGCCTATTAGGGTCATACAACACTGCTTGATTTTCCCAATGACCCTAAATATCAGGTCTTTGATTTGCCATGATCCACTTACTGTTGCAGATGTAGAAGAAAAAATATCTGATTGCCATAATACTCTTACCATTTTTTTTTTCAACATGCTGGCTGTCTCCCACCAAGGCAGGTGACCCAAAAAAGAAAGAAACACTTTCACCATCATTCACACATAACCACTGTCTTTGCAGAGTTGCCTAGATATGACAGTCTAGATGTCACTCCAAACAGTCAATATCTCAAACTCCTTCTTTAAAGTGCAGGCATTTTACTTCCCACCTCCAGGACTCAAGTCCGGCTAACCGGTTTCCCTGAATCCCTTCACAAAATATTACCCTGCTCACACTCCAACAGCTCATCAGGTCCCAAAAGCCATTCATCTCCATTCACTCCTATCACACATGCCTGCTGCATGTCCAGGCCCCTTGCACACTAAATCTCTTTTACCCCTCCCTCTATCCTTTCCTAGGATGACTCATACCCTTCCTCCCCTCCACTACAGATTTATACACCCTTCACTTATCATTATTATCATCAAAAGCAAGTGGTAAACCTACCAGGGTCATACAACACTGCAAGGCAGGAATTGATGCAGGATCTAAGGATAAATAAGGGTGGAGATGACAACAAAGGTAAAGTTAGGAAGGGCTGTGAGGAGTGCTAAAGGAAGGATTATCAGAGTTTGTGTAATAAATAAGCTGCTGACAAAAAGCCGAAGAGGGAGTCTGTCAAAAGTGGGTCCATCAGCAAGGAGGGAAAATAAAGTAAGGGGTGTTAGAGAGGTGCTTGTTGATAGACAGGACTGTCCAATAGAATATGGGAAATTGAAACAGGAACTAGACAATTCTCACAAAGTGGAACAGAACACCTCTCCATGAGATACCCATGAGTTAGACGAGTGTGTCCGATGCAAAGATGAAAGAGTGTTGTCTCCCAACCTCAGTATCGATGACAAGTAGGTCAGAAACCCAAACTTAGTTTGATAGAATGTAATTTGTTATGAGTTATATCAGATCAACTTTGTTAACAAGCCAATGGTTGTGAGGGTGAGTAGAAATTACAGCAAAATAGTCAGAGAATGGAATACCTATATATGAAACTGGCAGGTCATGTACTGCAGATCGTGCAGCAGAGTCTGCTTGCTCATTGCCCTGAATATCAACATGACCAGGGATCCAACAAAAAACAATTTCTTTATTTCTGCTAGTAATGCAGCTCAACCAAATTGTATACGAAGAACTAGGGGATGAGGTGAATCAAATTTTTTAATAACTTGCAAAGCACTAAAGGAGTCTGAGATGATTACAAACATTGATGTAAGCATAGATGCAATACAGATAATTGCAATGAGAATGGCATACAATTCATACAAAGTAACTCTGTATCAATAATGAGGACACTTAGCCTTGTTGCTGTCTCTGCCTATCACAGCCTCTGATGATAGACACCTCCAATGATAGACAGTTGTTCTACGGCCACATGGCTGTAGGGAACAAGTAAGTATTAGTCTAATTACCCCCAGGGGGTGTTGTGTCAGTGTTCCATTGAATAACTGAATACAGGTCTCCCTCAACATTCGCATTTTCAACTTTTGCGGGCTTCACACATTCGCGAATTCCCAACCGCCAAATTCCCAGCCGCCAAATCATATTTAAGTTTACCGCCACGAGTCCTTACTACCCTCCCTCCGACCCCTGCAACTGGCAGCCAGCCCTCCCACCACTGTGTGGTGAGTGTTTTGTTTGTTTATTATTTGATATTAAACTACAGTATAAATAATGTAAACCCATTCATGACTGCATATTGGAATGGCTATTTGGACAGGTATTGGATGGTGACATCATGTGTTTACTCTTGAACACAGCAAAGAATCAAACATTTCTGCTACTGCTAATAATAATAATAATAATAATAATATTAATATAATAATAATAACAATAATAATAATAATAATAATAATAATAATAATAATAATAATAATAATAATAATAAATACGATAGAATTGAAGAAGGAAATTGTACAAAAATACGAGGGTTGAAGCAGTGGTGGAGGAAGTGGTTGACGCATCGTCAGTGTGGCTTTGTTTATGCTGGAGTGAACATTAGTCTCCGTGCTCTTCCAAACATTTCACAATAATTCACTGTATTTGATGCTTGTAGATTGAGTGTGACTGGAGTGGTTGAGGCAGTGGTAGAGGCAGTGATAGAGGCAGTGGTAGAGGCAGTGATAGAGGCAGTGGTAGAGGCAGTGGTAGAGGCAGTTATAGAGGCAGTGGTAGAGGCAGTGGTAGAGGCAGTGGTAGAGGCAGTGGGTGAGGCAGTGGTAGAGGCAGTGATAGAGGCAGTGGTAGACGCAGTGATAGAGGCAGTGGTTTACCTGGAGAGTTTACCTGGAGAGAGTTTCGGGGGTCAACGCCCCCGCGGCCCGGTCTGTGACCAGGCCTCCTGGTGGATCAGCCCCTGATCAACCAGGCTGTTGCTGCTGGCTGCACGCAAACCAACGTACGAGCCACAGCCCGGCTGATCAGGAACTGACTTTAGGTGATTGTCCAGTGCCAGCTTGAAGACTGCCAGGGGTCTGTTGGTAATCCCCCTTATGTATGCTGGGAGGCAGTTGAACAGTCTCGGGCCCCTGACACTTATTGTATGGTCTCTTAACGTGCTAGTGACACCCCTGCTTTACATTGGGGGGATGGTGCATCGTCTGCCAAGTCTTTTGCTTTCGTAGTGAGTGATTTTCGTAAGCAAGTTCGGTACTAGTCCCTCTAGGATTTTCCAGGTGTATATAATCATGTATCTCTCCCTCCTGCGTTCCAGGGAATACAGGTTTAGAAACCTCAAGCGCTCCCAGTAATTGAGGTGTTTTATCTCCGTTATGCGGGCCGTGAAAATTCTCTGTACATTTTCTAGGTCGGCAATTTCACCTGCCTTGAAAGGTGTTGTTAGAGTGCAGCAATATTCCAGCCTAGATAGAACAAGTGACCTGAAGAGTGTCATCATGGGCTTGGCCTCCCTAGTTTTGAAGGTTCTCATTATCCATCCTGTCATTTTTCTAGCAGATGCGATTGATACAATGTTATGGTCCTTGAAGGTGAGATCCTCCGACATAATCACTCCCAGGTCTTTGACGTTGGTGTTTCGCTCTATTTTGGTAGAGGCAGTGGGTGAGGCAGTGGGTGAGGCAGTGGGTGAGGCAGTGGTAGAGGCAGTGATAGAGGCAGTGGTAGAGGCAGTGGTAGAGGCAGTGGTAGAGGCAGTGATAGAGGCAGTGATAGAGGCAGTGATAGAGGCAGTGGGTGAGGCAGTGGTAGAGGCAGTGATAGAGGCAGTGATAGAGGCAGTGGGTGAGGCAGTGGGTGAGGCAGTGGGTGAGGCAGTGGGTGAGGCAGTGGGTGAGGCAGTGGTAGAGGCAGTGGAAGAGGCAGTGGGTGAGGCAGTGGGTGAGGCAGTGGGTGAGGCAGTGGTAGAGGCAGTGGTAGAGGCAGTTATAGAGGCAGTGGTAGAGGCAGTGGGTGAGGCAGTGGTAGAGGCAGTGGGTGAGGCAGTGGTAGAGGCAGTGGTAGGCAGTGGGTGAGGCATTGGTAGAGGCAGTGGTAGAGGCAGTGGTAGAGACAGTGGATGAGGCAGTGGTAGAGTCAGTGGGTGAGGCAGTGGTAGAGGCAGTGGTAGAGGCAGTGGGTGAGGCAGTGGTAGAGGCAGTGGTAGAGGCAGTGGTAGAGGCAGTGATAAAGGCAGTGATAGAGGCAGTGGTAGAGGCAGTGATAGAGGCAGTGGTAGAGGCAGTGGTAGAGGCAGTGGTAGAGGCAGTGATAGAGGCAGTGGTAGAGGCAGTGGTAGAGGCAGTGATAGAGGCAGTGGTAGAGGCAGTGGTAGAGGTAGTGGTAGAGGCAGTGGTAGAGGCAGTGGGTGAGGCAGTGGTAGAGGCAGTGATAGAGGCAGTGGTAGAGGCAGTGATAGAGGCAGTGGTAGAGGCAGTGGGTGAGGCAGTGGTAGAGGCAGTAGTAGAGGCAGTGATAGAGGCAGTGATAGAGGCAGTGGTAGAGGCAGTGGTAGAGGCAGCGATGGAGGCAGTGGTAGAGGCAGCAATAGAGGCAGTGGTAGAGGCAGTGGTAGAGGCAGTGGTAGAGGCAGTGATAGAGGCAGTGGTAGAGGCAGTGGGTGAGGCAGTGGTAGAGGCAGTGATAGAGGCAGTGGTAGAGGCAGTGGTAGAGGCAGTGGGTGAGGCAGTGGTAGAGGCAGTGATAGAGGCAGTGGTAGAGGCAATGGTAGAGGCAGTGGTAGAGGCAGTGGGTGAGGCAGTGGTAGGGGGCAGTGGTAGAGGCAGTGGTAAGAGGCAGTGGTAAGGCAGTGGTAGAGGCAGTGATAGAGGCAGTGGGTGAGGCAGTGGTAGAGGCAGTGGTAGAGGCAGTGATAGAGGCAGTGGTAGAGGCAGTGATAGAGGCAGTGGTAGAGGCAGTGGGTGAGGCAGTGGTAGAGGCAGTGGTAGAGGCAGTGATAGAGGCAGTGATAGAGGCAGTGGTAGAGGCAGTGATAGAGGCAGTGGTAGAGACAGTGGTAGAGGCAGTGGTAGAGGCAGTGGTAGAGGCAGTGGTAGAGGCAGTGGGTGAGGCAGTGGTAGAGGCAGTGATAGAGGCAGTGTGTAGAGGCAGTGGTAGAGGGCAGTGGTAGAGACAGTGGTAGAGGCAGGGGGTGAGGCAGTGGTAGAGGCAGTGGGTGAGGCAGTGGGTGAGGCAGTGGTAGAGGCAGTGGTAGAGGCAGTGGTAGAGGCAGTGATAGAGGCAGTGGTAGAGGCAGTGGTAGAGGCAGTGGTAGAGTCAGTGGTAGAGGCAGTGGTAGGGGCAGTGGTAG